CCTATAGGGCCACCAACCGTGTGAGGGGTGTGCTGGAATGGGTGGCGGTGACTCATGTAAACTGTGCCGCTGGGACCTTCGGTGGAGCTCGCTCCAGCAGGGCCATGCGAACTGCGCCACTGGGACCTTGCGGCGGAGCTCCCATGGGGCCACGAAACGTGTGCGGTGTGTGCCGAAATGAGTGGCGGGGACGCATGCGAACGGCGCCACTAGGACCTTCGGTGGAGCTTCCTATGGGGCCACGGACCGTGTGAGGGGCTTGCCGAAATGGGTTGCGGGGCGCATGCGAACACCGCAACTGGGGCCTTCGGTGGAACTCCCTATGTGGCAACGGAGCGTGTGAGGGGTGTGCCGAAATGGGTGGCGAGGGCGCATGCGAACTTCGCCACTGGGACCGTCAGCGGATCTCCGATGGGGCCACGAAACGTGTGAGCGGCGCGCCACAGTGAGGGGGGTGACGGGAGGAGGGAGGAGGGGGGGAGGAAGGAAGGAAGGGAGGAGGGAACGCGGGGGCCGTCTCTTCAAAACGAGGACCCAACACCACAGGATGGTTGGAATAAACCAAAGACAGAACAATCCCAAGACATAACAAACAAACCTGGGCAGAAACACACTTCGCCTGACGAAGGACCCAACCATCTGCAGTTGCGAGTACCGCGAGGGAGATGATACGAACCGTGTGAGGGGTGTGCCTGAATGAGTACTTGGGACGCATGTGGATGCACCCCCTGGGGCCTTCGGTTGAGCTCGCCATGGGGCCACGAACCGTGTGAGGGGTGTGCCGACATTGGGTGGCGGGGACGCATGTGGCCACACCCCTTGAGACCTTCGGTGGAACTCCCTATGGGGCCGCGAACCGTGTGAGGGGTGTGCCGAAATGGGCGGCGGGATGCATGTAAAATGTGCCACTGGAACCTTCTGTAGAGCTCCCCATAGGGCCACGAACCGTGTGAGGGGTGTGCCGGAATGGATGGCGTGGACGCATGTAAAGTGTGCCACAAGGGCCTTCGGTGGAGCTCCCTATGGGGCCACGGACCGCGTGAGGGATGTCCCGTCATGGTTGGCAGGTGACGCATGTAAATTGTACCGCTCGGGCCTTCGGTGGAGCTCCCTATTGGGTCACGAACCGCGTGAGGGGTGTGCCGTCATGGGTGGCGGGGACGCATGTGGACGCACCCCCTGGGGCCTTCGGTGGAGCTCCCTGTGGGGCCACGAAGCGTGCGAGGGGTGTGCCGAAATGGGTGGCGGGGACGCATGTAATCTGTGCCACTGGTACCAACGGTGGAGCTGCCTTTGGGGCCACGAACCGTCTGAGGGATGTGCCGAAATTGGTGGCGGGGACGCCTGTGGACTGTACCGCTGGGGCCTTTGGGGGGTGTGCCGAAATGGGCGGCGGACATGCATGTAAACTGTGCCACTGGAACCTTCTGTAGAGCTCCCCATGGGGCCACGAACCGTGTGAGCGGTGTGCCGGAATGGGTGGCAGGGGCGCATGTATATAAACTGTGCCGCTGAGACCTTTGGTTGATCTCCTATGGGCCACGAATCGTGTGAGGGGCTTGCCGAAATGGGTTGCGGGGAAGCGTGCGAATTGTGCCACTGGGACCTTCGGTGGAGCTCCCATGGGGCCACGAAACATGTGGGGGTGTGTAGGTGCCGAAATGGGTTGCGGGAAGGCATGCGAACTGCACCACTTGGACCTTCAGCGGAGCTCCTATGGGGCCACGAAGCGTGTGAGGGGGATGACGGGAGGAGGGATGAGGGGGGAAGGAAGGAAGGGAGGAGGGAACGCGGGGGCTGTCTCTTCAAAACGAGAACCCAACAACACAGGATGGCTGGGATAAACCAAAAACAAAATAAACCCAAGACATAACGGAAACCCTAGACAGAAACACACTTCGTCTGACGAAGGACCCAACCATCTGCAGTTGCGAGTACCGCGAGGGAGATAATACGAACCGTGTGCGGGGTGTGCTGGAATGATTGCTTGGGACGCATGTGGACGCACCCCCTGGAGCCTTCGGTGGGGCTCGCCATGGGGCCACGAACCGTGTGACAGATGTGCCGACATTGGGTGGCGGGGACGCATGTGGCCACACCCCCTGGGACCTTTTGTGGAACTCCTTATGGGGCCGCGAAACGTTTGGGGCTGTGCCGAAATGGGCGGCGGACATGCATGTAAACTGTGCCACTGGAACCTTCTGTAGAGCTCCCCATGGGGCCACGAACCGTGTGAGGGGTGTGCCGGAATGGATGGCGGGGACGCATGTAAAGTGTGCCACAAGGGCCTTCGGTGGAACTCCCTATGGGGCCACGGACCGAGTGAGGGATATCCCGTCATGGTTGGCAGGTGACGCATGTAAATTGTACCGCTCGGGCCTTCGGTGGAGCTCCCTATTGGGTCACGAACCGCGTGAGGGGTGTGCCGTCATGGGTGGCGGGGACGCATGTGGACGCACCCCCTGGGGCCTTCGGTGGAGCTCCCTGTGGGGCCACGAAGCGTGCGAGGGGTGTGCCGAAATGGGTGGCGGGGACGCATGTAATCTGTGCCACTGGTACCAACGGTGGAGCTTCCTTTGGGGCCACGAACCGTCTGAGGGGTGCGGCAATTCGAGGGGGTGGCGGGAGGATGGAGGAGGAGAGGAGGCAGGAAGGACGGCGCGCGGGGACCGTCTTCTGCCAGACGGGGGCCCGGCGCCACAGGGTGGTTGGGAAGAGCCCTCCTTCGCCCCGTGCTGACGGGAGAGCACGAGCCCTCCTTCGCCCCATGCCGGGGCTTTCTGCTCTGGCTTCTGTCTCCCCCCCTTCACCACCCACCAAACCACCCCAACCCAACCCGAAGGCCTCAATCTGCACTCCATTTCCAGTGCGGGGGGGGGGGGTCGGGGAACATCGAGAAAACGCATGTGGAACCCGTACCCGCCCCCCCAACCCGAAGTTCGGGTCTTCGGGTCGGGTCGGGGTGGTCTGGTAGGCAGTCACCCCTTCCGCCCAACGCCGACGCGCCGAAGCCGAAGGCGCTCGCCGGCCCGAGCCACACGGCGCCTCGAGGACGCCCGCGCTCTGCGCGCGTGCGTGTCGCGGCCTGCGTCGGGCAGCGGGGCTGCCCCTCTCGGGGCGCCAGGCGCTGAGCCCCTGGCATCGCTTGGACGTGTGCCTTTTCTCTCGGCGAGAGCCATCGAGGACCATCCTCGACCAACGAGCAGAAAAAACACACACGCACGAAACCGAAAAATGCACGGGAAGTGGACGTCCGAGCGACGGCGAGAGCCTCGAGAGGGCGCGGATGTAGCCATCGGTCGTTGGACGTAGGTATTCTTAGATTCCCGGGTTCCACTGCAGTTTGAGCGCCCTCCTGCTGCAGCGATCGAGTGGCTTCGCCCTTCTTCCGGCCTCCTCTGGGGGGGCGGACGGAGCCCAATCTCTTCTCAGCGCCTTCCTGCTTCATGATTCTGCCTGCTTCTTCCGACCGATGCGTACAGTCAACCCGCACAGTAGGGATGGGCAAGCTTGCCCAGGGTACGCTTGCATCCTTGCCTCCCCGGCCCATCCTTGGCTTCTTTCGTTGGCCGCGCCCCGCTCGCAAAGCTCGGGGGCGGCATAGAGGGGGGTGATGATTAGGTGGGAGTGGATATCATGGCGTGGGCCATGATATTTCCCCAGATTTCATGGCGCCTCTTCTTATTTCATTACGTCCCTGGCCCCCCCGCTGGGCCGCGCACGTGCCGCCGGCTGCAGCCCCCCCTCTTGGACGCCCCCCTCTTGGCCGCCCCCGAAGTCTTCGAAGTGGCCTTCCAAGGCCCTGGCATCCGCATCGTGCGTCCCTGCTGTACGGGTTTGCTGTCACCACGGGTCTCGCATCGCGGGGCGTGATGCGCGGAGCTGATGTGGGGTGACCGGGAGGTTCCCAAGTGGCTCTCGGACGGCTGGAGGGGCCCAGGTGCCGTACTCTCGGGGTGCGGGAGAGGCCCTGGGGAAACCAACTGGTACGGCTACCGCTGCTCCCGGGGCCTCGCACAGGGCACGTTCTGGCCAGGGTTTCGAGGCGGATCCTGCTGTGGGAGAGAGCGCGTTTCACGGCCAGGGGGCCCAACACTCAGTGCCGTCGATCAGAACCAGGGGGACTCCCCTCCCCTAACCCCCCCCTCCCGAAACCTCCCTCCCCCTCCGGGGGAGGGGGGGTTCAAAACCTCCCTTCGGCCCCCCCCCCTCGGCGCTGGCGCCGGTGCCGGCGCTGGCGGCCGCCAGCAGCTCCGACGGCGGGGACGCAGCGACGATGACCAGAGGCACCCCACGGGGGGGGTGTTCAAACCCCTCTCCCCCCCCGCGCCGGCGCCGGCGCCGGCGCTGGCGGCGGCTAGCAGCGCCCAAGGCGGAGACGCAGCGACGATTACCGCTCTTGCCACCTCCACCACCACCACCACCACCACCACCACTACCGCCACCACCGCCACCTCAACCACCCCACCACCACCACCACCACCACCACCACCACCACCACACCACCAACCCACCACACAACCACCACACACCACCACAGCCACGACCACCACCACAACCACCGCCACCACAACTCACCACTACCACCACAAAAATCCACCACCACAATCTACCACGCCACCACCACCGCCACAACCACCACCACTACCAGCAGCACAACCCACCACCACCACCACAAACCACCACATCACCACCACCCACCACCACCACCAACACCACCAGCACCACCACACCACCACCAAACAACCACCACCACCACAACCCACCACCACCACCACCACCACCACCACCACCACCACCACCACAAACCACCACCACACCACCACTAAACCACCACAACCGCCACCACCACCACAAACCACCACCACCACCACACCACAACCACCACCACCATCACCACCACCACCACCACCAACCACCATCACCACCACTACCACCACCACCACCGCCGCAGCAGCAAACCACCACCACCACCAGCACCAGCACCACCACAACCACCACATCCCACCACCACCACCACAACCACGACCACCACCACAACCACCACGACAAACCACCACACCACCACCGCCACGGCCACCACCACCTTGACCCACCACCGCCACAACTACCACCACCACCACCAGAAACCACCGCGCCACCACGACCACCTCCGCGACCATTACCATCGCCACCATCACAACCTGCCACCACAACCACCACAAGAGCCACCACCACCACCACCACCACCACCACCACCACCACCACCACCACCACCACCACCACCACCACCACCGCCATCACACCACCACCCAACCACCACCACCACCACCACACCACCACCACCACACACCAACCACCACCACCACCACCACCACCACCACCCACCACCACCACCACCCACCACCCACCTACCACCACCACCCACCACCAGCACCAGCGCACCACCATCACCAGCACCAGCACCAGCACCAGCACCAGCACAGCACCAGCACCAGCACCAGCACCAGCACCAGCACCAGCACCAGCACCAGCACCAGCACCAGCACCAGCACCAGCACCAGCACCAGCACCAGCACCAGCACCAGCACCAGCACCATCACCAGCACCAGCACCAGCACCAGCACCAGCACCAGCACCAGCACCAGCACCAGCACCAGCACCAGCACCAGCACAGCACAGCACCACCACCACCACCACCACCACCACCACCACCACCACCACCACCACCACCACCACCACCACCACCACCTCCACCACCACCACCACCACCACCACCACCTCAGAGAGGCCCCAAGAGACGCCCAAGAGGCGCCCAGGAGGCTGCACAGATGCTCTTCAGAGGCCCCCGAGAGCCCTCCGACGAGACCCCAAGAGGCATCCATTAGGACTCTGACCCAAAATCAAGGTATGGTGGCGGAGCGTCGTCGTTGTCATCGTCGTCGCCGTCGTCCTCGTCGACGCTCCCCGCCGCCGCCGCCGTCACGGGGAGGGGGGGGTCCCGAACTCCCCCCCCCCCGTCACCGGATGGCCGTCCCCCTACATCCACGGGGGGGGGTCGGTTTCACCCCCCCCCCTGGACCAGCGTCGATTAGCGTCGACTGGCGTCGATTCGCAAGAGCCGACAGGATGTTCCGAGAGGCTCCCATGAGTTGCCACCGAAGATGCGGCCCGATGCTGGCATGGCGCCGTTGTGCATCCTGGCGCTACCGACTCGGCTCGATTAGGACACCGTGACGATGCGGTCCGATCCGACGGTCTCTCCGATTTGCCGAGTAGATGCCGACTGGTCCTGCGGGTGGTGCCCCTGCGCGACCCGGGGTCAGGGGGGCCTTACCTTTTCAAACTTCGCCCAGGTACGCCGGCGGGTCAGAGCCCCGAATCATCAGGGGTATCTCGGGTCAGGGCTAACTTGGGTTCGTTTTTCGGGAATCCGAGTCCGAGTTATTCCAGGCCCGAGTTACCCCCGATATTTCGGGCGTCCAAGGCGGGAGTCTCTGGGGGCTTCCCCCCTCTGGCTTGAAGCGCCTGCGGGGCTCCTTGTTCCGCCGGGGCGCGTCCACGTCCACGGTTCCTCTGCTTCTTCCCTCCCGTGGTCTTGGCGAGGTGTACGGTGAGGATGCGTGCAGGGCTTTCTCTCTGCCCCCCGTTTGCCGGCCGAGGCCTGGCCGCCAGGTCTTTGGGTTCAGTTCTCGGGGTCTCCGTGGCCTCGCGACCACCGCTTGCGTGGGATTCAGCTGCTGTGGCTGGTGGGCAACCCTGTCGTGCCACCAGGAGCCCAGGGCAAGCTCGGGCACGTGGGATCGCAAAGAGCGCAGATCTGATAACGCATCCAGGTTTTATTCAGCGTCGGGGCACGTTCGTCTGGGGGAGGGTGCCGGGGGGGAGGCAGGCAACATGTACGCACGCGTGCGTCACGTCAGAGGCCGTGCCCCACATCATCTCAGTCTCTTCGCGCTGTGCTCCGAGAGGGAGTCCACGTGCAGGGGGGGATGGATATGGGGACTGCGATAGGGAGGGAGGTGTGGGGTCAGGGGAGGGAGGGAGGAGAGGATGTGAGGAGAGGGCGGACGGTACTTAGCAGAAGGATCGGAGGGGGGGATGGTGACGAGGTTGCGGCGGCCGCGGGAGGAGTGGGGCCAGGTGCTGCTTCGGCCGCAGCGGTGGCGGCTTGTGTCCTGGCGCTCGCGATGGGCGCTCGCAGGCGCCAGCAAACACCTCGAGGGCTTGTGCGAATGCACGCCGGAGCCCGCGCGATGAGGGACACGGAGCGGAGGGTCAGACGGGACTGTTGCAAAAATAATGGCATAGACATATACGTAATTTTCGGAGGTCCGCGTCGATTTCTTGGGTCGGCGCTGGTCTCCCCTCTTTGGCGCGCGCAGCGCGCCAGCGCGCCAGGGGCAGCGCCGAAGGCGCCGCCGGGGGGCTCCAGCGCGTGGACCCCCGAACTTTTGACATTTTATGTCGTTCTCTGTTCGCCGATGTCCTGCCCGTCCGCACTTGCTCGCTCTTCGCTCTCTTGCTCGTCCCCCCCCCTCTCTACAGTCGGGGCGCTGAAAAAGGAACCCTTTTCGTGGGGGACGGGCTCCGTGCTCCTTAGCTGTTTCGCAGTTTGCCCTGGGTGTTCCCAAGGTTTTCCATGAGGAATCGAAGTTCAATGCGTGGAGAAGAGGGGCATCGTTCCTTATCTAGGGCTCCTTAGGTCAACGCCCCGACTGTAGCCACATGCGCAGGGCTCTGTCGGGCTCGACCGGCCCGACTCCATGGCGAGGTCGGCCAGGGGAGGCGATCCGACTCGACTCCGACGCTCCGTCGATCCGAGGTGGCCCGATGCCCGCGTGGCGTTGTTGTGCATCTTGGCGCGGCCGATCCGATTCGATCCCGTCGACGTCTAAGTCGGGCCTGTCCCTCTATCGGGCCGAACGAAAGGGGGGGATAGGGAAAGGGGGGGGTACGAAATTTGCTGCATGCAGCTGGTTTCGGCCCCGCCGCCGGGCCTACTCCTCGATACATGGGCGCCTCCAGGCGCCGGGAGGCACCGGGCAAATCAGCTACGTGAGCTGATGCTCACCCCCCCCCTTTGCTATCCCCCCCTTTCGCCCGACCCGACTCTATAAGAGGAGTGTCCAAGAAAAGTCAAAACACTGTCTGGGGACGATGTTTGGACTATGTTTGGCTATTTTTCTGAGCATTTGTTGACTACTTCGTATCTCTCGTCCAGAATCCGCCTGTAGGGGAACAGGCCCGCCTTCAGTCCACGTGCCAATGCAGCCCGATCTGACGCACATTCCGACTCGATCCGATCTCCCGGTCCAGTGTTGACGGAGCTTGCAGCCAGCGCCGCAGAGCGTGCCCCCTTCAAGGGGGAGGGGGAGGGGAGGGGTCGGGGCACGGGGGAGGGCGCGAGGAGAGGGATCGGCGATCGGGGGGGAGGAGGAGGGCGAAGGAAGAGAGGACGACGAGGGGAGAACGAGCGGAGGGGAGGGCGACAGGCAGACAAAAGGAGAGGACACTGAGGAGGAGAGGATAAGAGTGGAGGAGGAGGCACACGTAGCCGCGCGCGAAGTCTACCATGTGCACGCCGCGCACCCACGCGACCCTTGGGCCCCCGGGGGACCCCCGGTCCCAGATTAGGTATCGGGGTGTCTTGTGCGCTCCTCAGAGATGGGAGGGAGAAGGAGAGGAGAGGAGGAGGAGGAGGAGGTGCGCAAGCCCACCGAAAGAGGGGGGGGAGGGACGGATTGGCATCGCTCGGACGTGTGCATTGTCCTTGGCGAGGCCAGCGCCAGGAATTCTGGACCATCTTGAAACAACTTGGACCATCTTCAAAAGAAGCACGCGCGAAACCAAATACTTGATCCGCAGGGAACGGCCTCCGAGCGATGGGAAATGTGGGTGGGGGCGTCCATCCGACGAGGTGCCCTCGGAGGAGGCTTTCTGTTCCCCTGTCCTGGGTTCCGTCCCCACCCATGGGCCCGCCGACGCCACGACCTCCCCCCAGAGCTGGCACCTCTCGGGGTCGGGGCCTGCCCTGCGCGACGGGGCCGCCGCTCGAGCGTGCAGCTCCCGCGGGCCCAGGACCTCCACCTCCGAGCGGCCCTTCAGGCCGAACGCACACAAAACCGAGGCCATCGAAAAGCGGGCTGGCGGGGCCCGTTGCCGTAAGTGGCGCCTTTGTGAGGCCCGCCAGGCTGCCGCAAAGCAGACCCGCCCTCCTTTGCAGCCCCAAAGTGCTGAGGCCACATTGCACGTGTGAGTAGTGTTTAGTCGGGCATGTCCCTCTACGGGGGGAATGTTCAAAATTACCCCAGTGCGACCCTACCTAGGAGTTGGAACCCCTAGGAAAGCAGCATTAGTAGTAACGGTAAACGCCGCCTTCCTCCTCCTCCTCCTCATCGTCGTAGCTGCCTTTGCTTTTGCTTGTTTTTGCTTTTGCTTGTTTTTGCTTTTGCTTTGCCTTCGCACACACGCACACACACACACGCATGTTTTTGCATTCGCTCACCGGGTGGGCTCTCTGATCGTACTGTTGCACATTGCTTTTGCTTTGCCTTTCCTTTGCTTTTGCTTTTGCTTTGCTTTGCTTTGCTTTGCGTTGCTTGTGCTTTGCTTTGCTGTTGCTGCTGTTGCTTTGCCTTTGCTTTGCTGCTATGCTATGCTATGCTATGCCATGCTGCACTATGCTATGCTATGCTATGCTATGTTATACTATGCTGCGCTATGCTGCGCTATGCTGCGCTATGCTGCGCTATGCTATGCTACGCTAGGCTGTGCTATTTTATGCTAGGCTATGGTATGCTATGCTATGCTGTGCTATGCTATGCTATGCTGTGCTATGCTGCGCTATACTATGCTATGCTATGCGATGCTATGCTGCGCTATGCTATGCTATGCTGGGCTATGCTATGATGTGCGAAAGAGCGTGTTCTACCGCTGCTGGCGGAAAACCAGGGGGGGTCACTACCGGTTCGAACCCCTTCCCCCCCCCCCTTCGGAAAACCGGGGGGGGTCACTAACCATGAACCCACGAGAATAACCCCCCAGAGATAATAATGTTCGGGGTTTTCGGGGAGATAATAACAGTTGCCCGCCAGAGCCAGCATAAAGAGATATCAAGAGGAAGAAGCCAAAGATATCTTGAGGATCCTTGGTCTTTGGTCCTGTATGATACATCCTCAACAATGATTTGTCTCGGTTGAGACATCCTCAACAATGGTTTGTCTCAGTTCAGGGCGCCAGGGGGCGAGAAGAAGGAGAAACAAAAAGAGATATATAGAGAGAACGAAAAGAAGAGCAGGAGGAGGAGGCGGAGGAGAGAGGAGAGGAGAAGGAGGAAGCGAAAATCCAAAATTCAAAACTTATTAGATTTAATTTGTAAACGCTTGATGAACATTAAAATTTTCATCTGCTCGTGTAGGGGAGCTCATGTGCTTAGTTTTCCCGGGGTAATCAACCCCAGCGATAAACAAGTTCAGGGCGCCAGGGGGAGGAGGAGAAGAGAGAGAGAGAGAGAGAAAGAGAGAGAGAGAAAGAGAGAGAGAGAGAGAGAGAGAAAAAGAGAGAGAGAGAGAACATAAACAGAAACTAAGAGAGAGAGAGAGAGATAGAGTTCAAAACTCCCTTCTTATGTTGTTATCTCAGCATAAGAAGGAAGTAACCTCGATGGCGAACTTTCCCCGTGATAATGAAGTTCGGCCTCCGCGCCCTCCGCCTCTATTTGAAAACCGTCGAGGCCGAGGATAAAAAACTCAAACGACTTAAGGGGGTGGGGGGGGTACTTTATTATCGTGGGTTCGGGGTTACCGGTTCGAACCCCTCCCCCCCCCCAGTTCATCATGAAAAGGGGGGGGGTCACTACCGGTTCGAACCCCCCCCCCTCGAAAACCGGGGGTGGGTCACTACCGGTTCGACCCCCTCCCCCCCTCGAAAACCGAGTGGGGGTGCGGACAGTGGTGGGGACGGTGTTGGTGGGGACAGTGGTGAGGGGACAGCGGGACAGTGGTGGGGACAGTGGGACAGTGGGACAGTGGTGGGGACGGTAGTGGTGGGGACAGTGGTGGGGACAATGGTGGTAACAGGGGGGACAGTGGACAGTGGTGGGGACGGTGGTGGTTGGGACAGTGGTGTGGGGGCAGTGGGAATGAAGTGGAAACAGTGGGACAGTGGAGGGTACAATGGCGGTTGGGACAGTGGTGAAGGCGGTGGCGAGGACGGCGGTGGGACAATGGGACAGAGGTACAGTGGGGACAGTGGTGGGGACAGTGGGGACAGTAGTGGGAACAGTGGGACAGCTCAGTGGGACAGCGGAGGAGTCAGTGGGACAGTGGGGACAGTGGGGATAGTCGGGCAGTGGTTGGGGCCGTGGAGACAGTGGGGAGAGTGGAACCGTGGTGGGAACAGTGGTGGGGACAGTGGGGACAGTGCGACAGTGGTGGGGGCACTGGTGGGGACAGTAGGGACGGTGGTGGAACCAGTGGGGACAGTGGTGGTGAGGACAGCGGTGCTGGGAACAACAGTGGGGGATGTGATGCGGACGGTGGTAGGGACCGGGAGTCGTTTGCTCGCGGTGCGTGGGGGGGGGGTCGAACCGGCAGTGACCCCCCCTCCGGTTTTCGAGGGGGGGGGGTTCGAACCGGTAGTGACCCCCCCCGGTTTTCCGGATCCGGGATCTGGAGGGGGGGGGGAGGGGTTCGAACTGGTAGTGACCCTCCCCAGTTTTCCAGGGGGAGGGGGGGGGGGAGGTAAGGTCAAAATATGGTTCTATTTAACGATGTGCTGTTTTTGCTTACACGGACCTCTGCTCTCCTCTCCTTCTCTCTCCTCTCTCTCTCTCTCGTTTCCGTTAGGATTCTATCATAGGAGGAAGGCGTATTACACATTGATTCTTTTTGTGGAGGATGACAATCGGATTCCTTTTGTGAAGGCTTACAATAGGATTCTTTTTGTGGAGCATTACACTAGGATTCTTTTTGTGTGTGGAGGATTACAATAGGAGTCCTTTTGTGGAGGATTACAATAGGATTCCTTTTGTGGAGGATTACAATAGGATTCCTTTTGAGGAGGATTGCAATAGTTGTGGCAGTACTTGGGAGAAACTTAGGAGGAGAAAGAAAAGAAACAAAAAAAACAAGAAAACCAATGAAATCAGGAAAATTGCAGGTTTTCAATGGTTTTCCATGTTTTGCAAAAGAAAAAATATGAAAACACAACATTTTCAGCGTTCCGGAACCGAAATCATATAAAAACACAGCGTTTCTAGCTCCCTGGAGCGAAA